TTATAGGAGATTTTCTTATACATGTTCTAGTGTTTGAGATAGACCTCAGAGTTTCTGAAACCTCTAAGGAAACTGTTCTCAGAAAAGTTCTGCAAATGTGTTATGAGCTTTCCAGAGTAATACTAGGATGCTGGTCTTTGGAGTAACATTCCTGAACACAAAGGCATGCAGTTCTCCATCACTGCTAGACACCATATCCATGGTTTGTAGCAGCTATCACAGGACTCTTCCAGTACCCTATGATTCCTCATAGCTGAAAGGCGTATTTTCTGGAGCTAGGATGTATCTCAGTGTAGAATATTAATCTTGTGTGTGAGATCCAGGTTAATTCCCAACACCACACACATACACAAAAGTACAAAAGCACCATTTTGTTTTAATGCCTCTTCAGGCCAATACCTGCCATAGTAAAAATAACCTCAGGCTTATTACCTTGCTGCTTCCCGACATTTATTTGTATAGACATAGGAATCTAAGTTTTGAGTGAATATTTGTAATATGGTAAAGCTATTCTTGACATAAACACTGAAAACTAGATATTAGTGTAGCACAAGCCAAATTTAGTCGTGTGTGTGTATTGCCTACCAGCTAAAAATGACTTTTCATGTTTTTAAGAGAATTATGAAAACAACGTGTGATACAGATCTATGTGACCCACAAAACCTAAAATAGCTACTGTTTGGTCTCCTGTAGAAAAAGTTTGCTAAGCTCTGCCTATTCTTCAGTTGCTCTACCTACACTTTATCACTTGTTCTCTGAACTGCAGCTTTACCAACAACTAACACTGGCTAATGTATACAACTCTTGAAGGTAAAAAAAAGCGATTATTTATTCTGAGTCCCTCTTATAAAAGCATCTTCAGCTTCATTCATCTTTACATTCAGGTAACTGTTACATGTTGACCCAGTTCTAAGCTCTAGGAGATATAAAATGTTAATGCTAGAAGATGCTCTGCAAACCTTAGGAAAGATAGGACACCTAAAATGGGGATATAACTGCCCTCAACAATCCTTGTTCCTACTCCAGAAGGAAAATACCCCCTCACAGCATCCCTTCATGCTGCTTGAGAACTGCTCAGCTCCCCACTCCCAGCCCAATTTCACCAGTGTTCCCAAAAGACTCCCTTACTCTGATTTCTTAAAATTAAATGCTGGTAAGCATCAGAATAACCTCTTGAGTTTTTTTAAATTTAATGCATGTACACAAGCTCTACTCAGGCCCCACTGAAATCTCAAGGGACAGATGCTAGAAATCTAGTTTTAAAACACCCACCCCCCGCCCCCACCAACTGATTAAAATACAGCCAGCCAGGCAGTGGTCCACAAACTAACTTTTGTAGGCCTTCTGGCAGAATGACGAAGAGACTAGAGGTGATATAGAAAAAATGGTGGAGTGTTGTGGGCACTTTGGTGGTGGTGCAGTACAATAACTTTGTACATCAATATCATATACTTGAGTACTATTGTAACTCTCATATCGAAACTATAAAAGGTAAAAGGTAAAGGCCCTCCCGTTGTTCATCGATTTGCTCGAGTGGGCCCAGTAACGTCTCCGTTGGAGACTTTGTTGTTACTGTGTTTGGCATATCGAATACGTCGTGGGGAGCTTGCCAGGCTCTGCCGTGCGGGCAAGATACTCTCGGTAGCTTGCCGGGCTCTCCGAGAGGGGCGGAGGAATCGAACTCGGGTCGGCCATGTTGGCTGCGTGCAAGGCAAACGCCCTACCGCTGTGCTATGAATATCAGATATAGTTCAAAGGGGGAGGGACTTGTTCATCCCCATTACAATATGCCTATACTTATTACTCTCCCTTTGATATTTCCAGGTGATTGATGCTAAATTTTACAGACACCTTCTGGAAACAATGTCTTAAACCAAAAGTATAACTCAGCTGGTAGGCCCTGTAAGCATATGACATGCAATGGGGACAGACAATGAGCAGGAAAAGCTGGCAAGCTATCTGTAAGGCATGTTGGGTCATTAACTACTTAAGAGGTTTTCTTTTGTTTTTTTTTTTTTTACTTAAGTTTTTTATTCTCTTCCTAGGTTTTCTTCTAAATTCCAGTTAGTGAAAAGCTCAATGTTAAAGATTTCCCAGAGAATTTTTGACAGAAAGGCCCCAGCCATGTTAACTTTTACAAAACTTCATTCTCAAAATTGGTGCCATATCTTACAAAATGTCAACCTATAAAGCTATTTAATATTTCCTACTGAGATCAGCCATTGTCTCTTCTCAGCCAAATATCTGATGAAACCAAGCTGTGTGAGTCTGAATCTCAGAGTGCAATTACTTGTGTCAATATTTTTTTACCTTGATCATCACCAAAAGCATTCTGTTTAAATAAATTTTTTTAAATAATTAAGAACTTTAGGAATATCTGACCTTTTCATTTGAATTGGCATTTGTATGTAAAATGCCCTAGAGAAATGGCCCAGAAACCATTAGTTCCTCTATAAAACACCAACTAAATAGATTTCCAAAACATAATACCCAGTTTTGAATTAGCATCCAATACCATATATTGCTAGAAAAATGTATGAATGTTTCACTTAGAGAACATGTTTACTGTAACATACTTGTATGTAAATCCACAGAAATGGACAATATTTTTACAGCTTAAAAGTATTAATGTGGGGCTGGAGCAGTAGTACAGCAGGTAGGGCCTTTGCCTTGCACGCGACCGACCCGGCTTTGATTCCCAGCATCCCATATGATTCCCCAAGCACTTCCAGGAGTGATTCCTGAGTTCATGAGCCAGTAGTAACCCCTGGCATCACCAAGTGTGACCCAAAAAGCAAAAAAAAAAAAAGTATTAAGTATTATTGCTGGTAGCAAACCACTGCTTTTTAAAAAGCCATGTGATAGTCCCCTGAGCACCGCCAGGAGTAACTCCTGTGCATCGCCAGGTATGACCCAAAAAGCCAAAAAAATGAATGAATGAATAAATAAATAAATAAATAAAAAGCCATGTGTATTATCTAGAGAATAACTTCCAGAGAGTGTTGGTTTAAACGAGGATTATTTTTAAACACAGTGTCTATTCTTTCAATCGGACATTTAAATTCTCTGGACTGTTCACTTTATGCCAAATTGGCCTAGAAATTGAATAATTGCTTACATTCTATAGGAAAACTAATGTGTAACTAAAAGGTTTTAGTTAGAACAAGGATCTAAGGTGTATGCTCCAATTGTTAAGGTTTAACAAAATCTGATTTATCCATTATTATTGCAGTAACTGATAGTAAAATTCCCAATTAAATTTTAATTTTAATTTCAGAACTGACATTGTTCATCTTCTGTCCCTGACAGTAGCAAAATAATAATGTTGAGTATGCCTTTTCTTTCTGTTTACCCCCGTCATAATATCTGCACACCTGGTTACTAAGAGGGTTACACTGGGAATGTTCAAAAGGCACAGTTCAAAACTCACCCAATTTCACTGTGCATGCACTTTTTAACCCAACTGCAGAGATGTCCTATTTACCTACCACTTGCATTTGTGTGTGATTTTTCAGGACACATTTTCCTCTAAAAGTTCATTATAACATCAGGGCTGTTTGAGAAATGGGACAGCTTTCACATATTAGAGAAAGTTCTCATGACTGTCAGAGAATAATTGCTTCTGCTAGGTTATTCTTTCCTGTAAAGTATTTTGAGAGTTCATTATGTGAAAAAAAAATCAATCCTGATTGCAGTTATAGAATTGGATTGAAAGATGAGTTGAAGAATAGAAATCTGATCATGAAGATCAAAGCAAGCTCCAAAATATTAGTCAGTCCTGTTTCAGACTTAAGAGACACTCAGATGCTGCCACAATTAGGGTAGTTGTCAGTTCAGGAAAAATGTGGCTGTGGCTGACCAAACCAGAAAGTTCACTTGCAAACTAAAAACAATCTCTGTCATTGGGATTTCAGGTAATAAAAATATTTACATGTGCTAGATTTTCTTCAAATTGAAGTAGAAAGAATGTGTGGCTTCAGAACTAGGTAAATTTGCAGGTTAATTGTTCTATCATACTGCATTTGTTTTCTCCAGACTGCATCACACATCTTTCCCTTGACCTTACCTTTTCTCCTATGCCATTTCCTTCCTTTGAAGATTTTTTTAGTCTTTCCTATTTTTCAAAGCAAAAGCTCTTTAGGATATCTGAAAACTGGCTAAGTCACAAATTTAGAATCTTAGAGCAGTTTAAATGAACATTCCCATTCTCCTTTTAAAAAGGTAGTTTTAACTAGGGTCCTTTCAGAGTTGTAGTATGAGAAAAACTTTTAAACTACAGTCACAGGCCACAGATTTATCTCAAACTAGTCTCAAGAAAAATGAACTGGAGTCAGAACACAGGGAAGTGATGAGAACACAATCTATTGCTGCTCCAGTGCTTTAGCATCTATGCTTCCAGAGAGTCATCTGCTCCCAAAGCACCTCCAAGAAAAAGAAGAAAAAAGTGACAGGTAATGCAGTGACTTCTGTCCAGCACTCCAACAGGGAATGAGATTTGGAGTCAAGCCTCTAGAAGGAAGAAACAGTGAATCCTTCAGTGAGACTCAAAGGACTAAGGACTGAAAACCAAAAACCTATGAAAGAAAATTGAAGCTATATTTTTAAGGAAAACAGGAATCCTTAGTACTTAAGACATAAATATGATTAAAATAAAGTATTATTCCTCTTTAATATAATATTTTTGGGAGACTTAGATTATAATTTTTCTGCTGCAGAGTAGATAGAGAGACTAAAAAGTATCTGAGAGAAGATTCTCTTCCCTGTCTTGTCCCACCCCCAGACAAACTGTAGTGAACGCCTATAGAATTCAGATTTTAAAACACATGACTAACCAGCCTAAATACTGCTGCACTGATAATGGTAGAATGTTCATTGTTATTAACCAAGCTTGGAATGCCCCACCTGAATCCTGAAGGGTCCAAATGCTAGCCTAGTCCTCCATTCAAATGGAAAGATACTGTTTCTGTAGTCATGGAGACATGGCATTCCTTTCCCCACAGGTGACATCCGCAATGACTTATATCTAACTCTGGAGAAGGGGGATTTTGAAAGAGGGGGAAAAAGTGTACAAAAGAATATTGAAGTAACCATGTATGTGCTTTATGCAGATGGAGAAATCTTGAAGGTAAGACTCGCCAGTTTGTAATGGATGTTAATTCAATAATAATTTTAGTATTTCTGTGGACTTTGTTCAGAGACCCATTCTCTTCAGGCAGTATGAACTCAGATCATCCATAGAAGTACCTTTTCATTTCTTTAGTGAAATTCTTTTGTAAACCTTGATAATGACTTCCTATTACTAGAAATTCTTTTTCAGTTTCTTGTCCGAACTCTTCCTGTTCCAATTTAGAGCTATTTCCTATAGTTATGTCCTTTATATTGCTTCTGCCACTCTTTCTAGCATCACTGTCCATTTTTGGCAATAGCTATTAAGGTCCACTCTTTTACCTTACTGAACTAATTAAAAAAAATTCATTCTTTGATCAAGGGTGAGACTTAAACACTTGCTCATGCCAACTTATATGACAATGAACTGCAGATTCGATCCTAAAAGATTATTTCCAAGCACAAAATATTTGTAAGTCTACAACTGTACCTCATGGTGTTTCACTAATAAAAATTTAAAAAAATAAATAAAAGAAGAATCTAAAAAAAAAGATTATTTCCATCCAGTATAGGACAAGGATCCTATAATTCCATTGACATTAAAGACCTTGAAGTGCTGCTTTTCTACTTTTATTGTTTCCATTTTTCCTCAATAATGTTTTAAGGAAGTCTCTGGCAAGTAGGAAACAGCATTTGCCTTTGGTAGGAAGCAGTTAAGTCTTTTACAAACCTTGCTTCTGTATATTAACTATAACCTTGCCATTTAAATATAGCACAAATAATAATTCATATTTTATAGAAGGAAAAAGATAAAATTAATAAAAATGTCCCAAATCTATAAAAGAAGATAATTTTAGGAGGGTAGTAGAAGTAATTTTTTGTGTATAATTTTAAAATTCAAGTCCAGGGAAATAACTTATGGACCAGAGGTGCATGCCTTGTTTGCTCCAGGATCTGACTTCTCTTCCCAGTTACCATGAAAGTAAATAAATAAATATTTTTAAATCCACTTCTTGCATTAAGTCATGTACCTTTTTTTATGGATAATGCTGAGGTCAGCAGAGCGGTCAGCTATTCATACCACTCAAGTGAAGACAGGGAGCTGCTCCTGATTGTAGTGGAGCCTCTGCCGTCTAGAAAAAGGGCACGTACAACCCCTTCCTGGCAATATCTGGGAACTTGAGTTAAGTTTTGTTTTCTTTCTTCACATTAAAAGACAGTCAACCAAATGCTACCTAAAATACTAGTTCAAATTGGGTTGAGGAAAAATGGAAAACAAGTCCTTTCCACTTTATAGCTAATTATTTTTCTAATCTGATAAAGAATCTTGAACTGTTCATTTCTCCAGAGGAGTTTGTTGGTTTTTTCTTAGTGAAGATGATGCCTAAGTCCGTGATTCAGTTGCATCACTCTTGTCCTTTCAATTCATTGAGTTGTATATTTGGTTACTTTTGCCCCAAGGGAAAAGAAGCATTGTACCTGCTGATTCCTTATACTGCACAGAACTGTTTCCAAAAGTATTGAATTTAATTTAAATGAAATTTCCCATTTAATAGATTTGGCCTGGTGGGAAGATGAGGCATGCTCAGGGGAGAAAGTAGTGTGTCTTACTGACAGAGAAATCCAGAGGCTCCCTCTAGGATGATGGCATCTTATTTTGCTTCTGTCTTGCAGGATTGCATCAGCTTGGGTTCAGGAGAGCCAAATAGGAGTTCCTACCACTCCTTTGTCCTCTACCACAGTAATAGTCCTCGCTGGGGAGAAATTATCAAATTGCCGATCCCCATCGACCGGTTCCGGGGCTCCCACCTGCGCTTTGAGTTCAGGCATTGTTCTAGTGAGTGAGATTTCTCTCCACATTCCTTTGAGGATATCAATATAATTCTGTCCTCTCTGGAACAGAATTAAGAGGTTCTTGTGAGGAGTTGTGAATAATGAGTACTCAGAGACAGGATATGATCAGAGGTTGTAATTTGGACAGTGATTCAAAATCCTGAGGCCTCTTTCTCTATCTGACCTCAACACTGGATAGTCCACATTATCGTTGATTGTTTCCCTTAAATGATTAAACTGCTTAAAGAGCCCCTTATTTACCAATACCAGCAATTTAGTTTCTATTTAGTTCTAGTAGCCTGTGTACGTTGAAATATAATTTCAGTTCAGTTCCAGTTCTAGTGTATTTTTCATCATTCCTGCAGTCCTTGATTAATGTCCTTTGTTCCTTAATTAATGAAAATTCCTAATTAATTAAAGAAGGAAGGGACAAATAAATAAAGAGCATATTAGTTTGTTACAAGGTGAATGTATGTTAAAAAGCAAAGTTGGTGGCAGGGCAGACAACTGACATTTGACTGTGATTGCAGCAAAGGACAAAGGGGAAAAGAAACTCTTTGGCTTTGCATTCTCACCCTTGATGCGAGATGATGGCACCACTCTATCAGATGACATCCATGAACTCTATGTGTATAAGGTATGTAATCTGACTCTCTCTCTCTAACCCCTGTTCCCATGTTGCTTTTCATTGTGTGAGCCAAAAAATTCAGGGTAGTATGATGGTGGGTAAGAGCAGGACTGGCCATTGCTGTTTTCTAAATGCAGTGATTGGTCTCCCCTTGCAAGTAATGCCAATACATAATTTCCCACCTTCCACTCCACTAAATAATGAAAATCCACTACCAACCTCTGTGTTCCATTGTGTCCTTGGCCAGTATGTTCAGAGTCCCTGTATTTGAGATCATGTTATGTCATCAGTCACAATATTGCTGCCCTCTGAGGTTGCCAGCACATCAAGTAGAGGCCATATGCATACCATGTTCTCTTAAAAGAGGCACCCAAGCTATTCTGGGGAGTTTCTGAACTGAAAGGACTTTTCTAGGAACACCTGAAACTCAAGGTCCTGCATCAAGAAAATTAAGAGTAAACATTAACACAGAAATTCTCTGGTGCCTTGTAACATATGTCCTGGTTTAGGAAAAAATTATATATTCTCTACTTTTGCCTACAGTGTGATGAGAATAGCACATTTAACAACCACGCTCTGTACCTGGGCCTACCCTGCTGCAAAGAGGACTACAATGGCTGTCCGAATATACCCTCTAGCCTCATCTTCCAGCGCAGCACCAAAGAGTCTTTCTTCATTTCCACCCAACTCTCCTCCACCAAACTCACCCAGAATGGTAGGTGATTGTGCTGAAGGGTGGCATGATTCAGTCTTCTCAGTTCATGCTGGTTACATGTTGCTGATTATATTAGCACTGTCCTCCCATTGTTCATCGATTTGCTCGAGCGGGCCCAGTAACGTCTCCATTGTGAGAATTGTTGTTACTGTGTTTGGCATATCGAATATGTCACGGGTAGCTTGCCAGGCTTTGCCATGCGGGTGAAATACTCTCGGTAGCTTGCTGGGCTCTCCGAGAGGGGCAGAGGAGTCGAACCCGGGTCAGCCGGGTTTGCAGCGGACAAGGCAAACACCCTACCTGCTGTGCTGTCTCTCCATCCCCTGATGTATATTAAGGGATTCGAAAGTTACTACATTTTTATGCTATGGTTATGGAATTTTTTTTGTTTGAATTTGAAGGAATTACTTGATAGTAACAGCCAGCCTACAAGTTTTTTCATGTTTTTAACAGCACCAGAGTGCATTTCCAAAGTTCACAAATGTGTCTTTGGTCTTTTATTTTTCTGAAACATTATTTCAGGAACTGCTGTCACAGTCCCCCCGTTGTTCATCAATTTTCTCGAGTGGGCCCAGTAACATCTCCATTGTGAGACTTGTTGTTACTGTGTTTGGCATATTGAATATGTTATGGGTAGCTTGCCAGGATTTTCCCTGCGGGCGAGATACTCTCGGTAACTTGCCGGACTCTTGGAGAGGGGTGGAGGAATCGAACTTGGGTCGGCCATGTTGGTCTGCATGCAAGGCAAATGCCCTACCCGCTGTGAGCTAAAGCTTTCATGTTTGAGTTTCAGCCATATGGATGATTGAACACCCATCCCTCCACCAGTGTACATTTTTCACCACCAATATCCACCACCAGTATCCCTCCCCACCCATCCCACTCCTTCCCTTGCCTCTATGGCAGATAATTTACCTCTTAGTCTCTCTTTACTTTTTAGCATTATGGTTTGCAATACAGATACTGAGCGGCCATCATGTTTTGTCCTTTATCTACTTTCAGCTGTGTCTTTGGTCTTGGTTTCAGCACTGAAAAGGCTGTTTATAATGCTTATACCTATTTCTCTTTCTCTAGTTTGCTTTTGTCCTCAGCTGAGAGTCTGGGCTTCTCTTGTCTTTTGTGTGCCAGGGTTCCCATCTTTTGTGTTTACTTTCTAGTGGACCTCCTTGCTCTGTTGAAATGGAAGGCTTTTCCAGACCGGATCATGGACATACTAGGGCGACTACGGCATGTCAGCGGCGAAGAAATTGTTAAGGTATAATTTTCATGCATCTTATGCATTTTTTCTGAATTGGAATTTGGGATAAAAGGCTTTACTTTTTCCTTAGTCCCTGCCAGTAGCTTCTAATATCATTTCTCAAAATTTGTGATGGATTTATTAATAATAATGAAGGATTTCCCCCTTTCAAAAAGTCTCAGACTTAGTTAGTACATGTTAGCAGCTATATTTAGGTTACAAATCTATTTTCTGACTTGTTTTTCTTTCTATAAAACAAAACAGTGAAAATGTCAGTGGCAAACACATCCACTTAGAAACAATCCCATTACTTTCTTCTGTCTGCATTCCTTTAGGTCTCATTGCTTTCTTTGGTCTTTTTCTCATTTCTCATTTTCCTTACTTTGGAATCCTTTACCACAAACACAGCTTGACGTCTTTCTATAGATGCTCTCTTGGTTGTCTCTAAGTACTCTAAATTATACTCTCCATTAATTTGTAACTGCTGATTTGTGCATTCTCTCTCAGCATCTATATTTAGGAAACCTTTTGTGCTCCCTTCCTCAATTGCTTTTTCCAGTTACCTTTGTGAAATTTCCTAAATAAGGAATGGCCTTATCAAGCTGACTGCTGCACTCTCCCAATCCTTATGGGGTTTCTTTGTACTGAACACTGCTCACCTGTCTGAGAAAACTCTCAGGCACTTTCTCAGGCTCAAGAAAACTCTCAAGCACTTTCTGGTAGTAGTGAAAAGCCAAAAGGTGTATTCTACACAATAGTTTGAACTCTTCCTGAGGAAATGGAGGTGTCAAATCAGTGGACAGTAAGATAGAGATTAAATATCTACCTTAAGTTTTCTAGGGAGGTAAATAGTTTAAAGAAATTTACTTAGGGAAAGGAAGGACAGTGAGAGAGGAGAGGAGAGGAGAGGAGAGGAGAGGAGAGGAGAGGAGAGGAGAGGAGAGGAGAGGAGAGGAGAGGAGAGGAGAGGAGGGGGGAGGAGAGGAGAGGAGAGGAGAGGAGAGGAGAGGAGAGGAGAGGAGAGGAGAGGAGAGGAGGGGGGAGGGGGAGGGGGAGGGGAGGAGAGGGAAGGGTAGTGGAGAAGAGAAGAGAGAACTTAGACTTCTTCAGGGTGGAAAAAGCTTTTGAAAGAAGTTATATACAGATTTTCTAAATGGAATAAGCCTGTAGTTTTCTTCATATATAAAAGTTAAACTGGGTATTGTCACAGGAGAAAATCCATGGACTTTTGATGATTTTTAAATATTCTTAGGTTCTCCTATAACTTATGAGGGGGTCCACCTTTGTATGAATGGTGCCTTAGTTTATACATATGAGTGGTGCTTCCATTTCTCCAAAGAGCTAAATTTTATTCCTCATGCCTTTGGGCTAGTTCAGGACTAGAGAATTTCTTCTTAGTTTTATTATGTCCCCACAGCTCATTACCAGGGTCCCTAGTTTTTGAGACTGAAAAATATCACTGCCTCCAAAATCCCCCCAGAGAAAGTTCACCACTTTAAATCTTTAAGGGGTATATGGATGATGACCTATAACTGTTTCCTGTTGGCAGAAGGTGTGGACCCACCTTAAATATCTTTAAAGGCACCTCCAAGTGTCTTCTCATCTCTGTCATTGCAAATATCAAATCAAGGACAGTTTTAAAGTTTAGGAAGTATGAAATTTTTTAATCTGTTGATTAAGAATCATACATTTTAAAAAGAATACAAGAAAACTAATACTAAGATTCTTTTTGGGGGCTGGAGCTATAGCACAGTGGGTAGGGCGTTTGCCTTGCACACAGCCAACATAGCCAACACAGGTTCGATTCCCAGCATCCCATATGGTCCCCCGAGCACCGCCAGGAGTAATTCCTGAGTGCATGAGCCAGGAGTAACCCCTGAGCATCGCCGGGTGAGACTCCCCCCCCCAAAAAAAGCAAAAAAGTAAGATTCTTTTTACTTCTAAATGTAGCACTGTAGCACTGCCCTCCCATTATTCATCAATTTGCTCAAGTGGTCCCAGTAATGTCTCCATCGTGAGACTTGTTGTTACTGTGTTTGGCATATTGAATACGTCATGGGTAGTGTGCCACGCTTTGCCGTGCAGGCAAGATACTCTCAGTAGCTTGCCGGGTTCTCCCAGAGGGGCGGAGGAATCAAACCTGGCTCGGCCTGGCCAGCTGCGCACAAGGCAGACACCTTATCATTGTGCATATATATATATATATATATATATATATATATATATATATACTGGTTGATATTTTATATATATATATATCCACATAAAATATCAACCAGTAAACAGGCCAAGTATTTTTTAAAGTCTGATCTTTTCAAGTTGGAGTGTCATGTTCCTGATGACTGAATATCGTACCAGCTTTCTTTATTTTTTTATCGATAATTTGTCTCAAGTCAGATAGCTAAGAATGTAAAAAAGAGTATGCTAGCATTATTTTTTCAGTTTTCATAGGAAGATTTAAAGCATACGCAAAATAAACAGAATAATATAAAAAAATTCTCATGTACCCATTACCCAACTAGCAATAATTATTATTGACCCATGGCTAGTCCTACCCATCATCACTCCATGAAGTCTTTCACCTTATATTGTTTTAAGATAAGGCATAAATGTTGCTTCGTTAAATTGCATTTGATCAACAGAATGGTATTTTATATTAAAAGACTTAGCAGTCATGAGCATTTGTTATTTTTTCCTTGTTTTTGGTAACTTCAAAAGAAGAATGCTTGAGGGATATGTACCAAGGCTCTCTCTCCACTCTGGAGAAGCCCCCATTCTCTCTTGAGCATCTCTCTCTCTTTCTCTCTCTCCCCTCCTTAAAACTTACAAATAAAATCAGTTATACGTCAAAAATGCTCAAAATAAATGATGCTTTTAGATATGTTATGCTTATTTACAGTTCTCAGCAGCAGCATTTGTCCTTTTCCTAGGATACTAATTTCTAGTTCAAGAAATAGTTTCTGTAAGTAAAGCCTAGCTTCCATCTCCTAATCCTAATGTCTTCTGTGGAGTGAAACTCTAATAGAGAATAAAGGATTACTAAACTCTTTAGTAATAAAGATCCAAAAGAGCAAGCTGTTTTTCTTAAGAGAATTTTTTTATTAGAATCTCTTGACTTTTATTTCAGAATTGCAATTTTATAAGAATGTTCTGTTTTGATGTTGATAATCAAATTCAGGGCCTCATGCATGTGAAAGTACCATGGAGCAACATTCCTGGTCCTTCAGTCCTTTGTTTTTTGATAACTGCTCTTTTCTTAAACATTTAGTTAGCACTTTTCCATCAAGAAGAGCTTTCTAGATCTCTTTCAGGTCCTTCGGACTGTAAGAAAATAACTCCTAGATATTCCTTAGCAGAGTAGATATAGAGTACTAGTTATTATTTTTAAGTGGTAGTTTGAGATCAGAGATCTTTGGTTTGATTTACTGAAAGATTGGTCATTGGTGTATGATAGTTTGGCCATGTGTACAAGGTTTCAAGACCTAAGCCCTCTGATTTCTATGCTGTTGCAGTTTCTGCAGGACATCTTAGATACACTTTTCGTGATTTTGGATGATAATACAGAGAAATATGGACTGTTGGTGTTTCAGTCTTTGGTGAGTCTTACCTTCCCTGCTTTTTTAATTAACTATACTGTAATATAACGTTTTGATTTAATAAAATGAATTTATTAGACTGAATCATCACATGATGTAGCTGTTTCCAATAAATATGGGGCTGAGAAGTATCATCCAAGGAAGATTGACCAACACAGGTAGATCCCTAAAGATCCTGTTTTTGCTGAAAGTAGACTATAGACAAAACATGATTGCCACTCAATGCCTCTCTTGCAAACCACAACACCCAAAAGGAGAGAGAGAGAGAGAGAACAAAAGGGAATGCCCTGCAACAGAGGCAGGGTGGGATGGGGGGATGGGGAGTGGGAGGGATACTGGGACCCGTGGTGGTGGAAAATGGGCACTGGTGGAGGGATGGGTACTTGATCATTGTATAACTGAAACCCAAGCACAAAAATTTGTAAGTCTATATCTGTACCTCATGGTGTTTCACTAATAAAAATAAATAAATAAAGATCATGTTTTAAAATTTTAGCATGATCAAAGCCAGGTCACTTTATATTTTTGACACTGAATTTCATCACTATTGCAGGGATACCTCACCCTTGTGATAGATATTTTTACCAACAAAAAGCCCAGAGACTAATATAAGAAAATACTTTTTTCATTTTCAAAATGGGGTATATGAGTCGAGAGTGCTGGGAGTGGGAAATATAAGTGCGGCCACCCGCCTAAGAGAAGGCCATGCCCACTTTTGAGGATGCCACGCCCCCTGCGTGAAGGCCACACCCCCAGCCGGTCCCAGGGACTCAATGACCTAGGATCCTGCAGAAGAGGGCGCTGCAGCAAGGTGGGCCTGCGGTCTGGCTTTCTCACCCAGTGATGCTTAGAGGTTACTCCTGGCTCTACACTCCAGAATTACTCCTGGCGGTGCTTGGGGGGCCATATGGGATTCCAGGGATCAAACCCAGGTCAGTCGCATGTAAAGCAAGTGCTCAACCCTCTATACTATTGCTTTGGCTCTGCAGTGGCCTAATTTAAACACACTCACATACACACACACACACACACACACACACACACACAATTTTAATTTTACATTAACTCCCCATGGGAAACATTAAAGAAATCATTGACCGTTTATCATTTTTTTAAAAAGTAAAAGTTGTGATTCATGTGAGGAATAAGTCTGAGACCTTCGGTGAGCACTAGTATCCTTTGTCTTTCCTAGGTATTCATCATCAATCTTCTTCGAGACATCAAGTATTTTCACTTTCGACCTGTAATGGACACCTACATCCAGAAGCACTTTGCTGGAGCCCTAGCTTACAAGTAGGTAGCATTTGGCATCATTATTAAGACTTGTGTTTTAATATAAAGATAGAATGTATTTGTTCTGAGATCATACCTGATGATAGGGGACTATGCCATTTCAGAGATTAAATCTGAGCCTATTGTATATAAATCGTGTACTCATCAGCCCTTTGAGTAGTTCTCGGGCCCAATATATATAGAGAATTTTTTTAAAGTTTAGTGGCAATCATATTTTGTTCAGCTAACCTTAATGTTTTTGTTTATTTCTGATATTAAGAGAAAAATGTTTGATTTTTCATTATTTATGCTATCTGTAAATTTTCAGCTGGCATTTTAAGCATAGCACATTACACATTTTCATACTTCTTCTGAGAATGGCAGACTTAAATATGTCTTGCTTGGTGTTGGAGCAATAGTATAGTTGGAGCACTTGCCTTACACATGGCTGACCTGGTTCAACACCCAGCACCACATATGGTCCTCGAGCCCAGCTAGGAGTAATCCCTGAGTGCAGATCCAGGAGTAAGTCCTAAACACTGCTGGGTATGGCTTCCATCAAAATAATAATAATAATAATAATAATAATAAATATTTCTTTTCCCATGGAAAACATAAATAAATATATAACACACAAATAAATGTCAAAGAAAAAATTCTAGCCAATATAAAAAAATATGATTGGTAAACACGATCAATCTAAAACTTCCAAAACAGGTTAGATCAATAATTCAATAGACTAAGTGCATACATAGGAGGCAGGAGACAAAATTGAGTCTCAGTACTACATGGTTCCCAAGACAACAAAAAATGACCCCAAGCACCAAGCTGGAAGTAGCCCTGAGCACTGCTGGTGTGAATCCCAAATAAAAATTAAAAATCATTAAAGCAATTAAAGTGTCTGCTTTCTTCTTTTGAACTAACACAATATTTGAAAACATACATTAAAACCCTAGTGTCAGGTTAGAGAGGTAATTCAGGGTTAAGGCACTTTCCTTGCACTCAGCTGACCCAGCTTTATGTTCCCAGTGCCACATATAGTCTCCCAAGCACCTCCAGGAATGATCCCTGATCACAGAACCAGGAATAAGCCCTGAGCATCATTATGTATGGCCCCCTCCAAAAACAGACACTTTAATGTTGCAAGACTGGAACCATTGTACATGCTGCCTAGAGAGTAGGTGCTGTGCTATGTGCTTTGCATGTGTCGTCTCAGTAGAATTCACATTAACCAAGATATACTGCTTTCCCTCTCCATGTATTGAGTGAAAAGAATGAAATACACAGAGAGTAAATAACTTTCTCAAGGATACAGATCTAGAACCATAGGTTCACCTGTCATCTGATTAGGAACTTCCCTCTTGACCTCTGTGCTGTATTACCTTGTAATACAGCTATTCTACTGTCAAGCTATTCTACTTATGTGACTTTGTTCTAGAGAAATGAAATCATTGAGATGGACATTGAACAAGCAGAGACATAGAACTATGCATCATTATTCAGTCTATTAATCTTTGTTGCATGTTCTAGAGACAGCAATTTTAGACAAAACAGAAATGTATATGTCCAAGACTTTGGGGAAACTTTCTTAAAAATTTTTTTTAAAAAATTGTACTGGGGCTGGAGCAATAGCACAGCAGGTAGGGTGTTTGCCTTGCACACGGCCAACCTGGGTTTGATTCCCAGCGTCCCATATGGTCCCCTGTGCACCGCCAGGGGTAATTTCTGAGTGCAGAACCAGGAGTAACCCTTATGCATCACCGGGTGTGACTCAAAAAGCAAAAAAAAAAAATTCTATCAGGAACACTGATGTACCAAGAGTAGCACACAACATTTGATGGGGTTTAACAAATATGTTAGTAATCTCTTATACAAGGGCTTAATGGCTCCAGGGTGAAATAAAACAATCTTTACACACTTTCCTCTAAGGAAACTTTATTGGATAATTTTTAGCAGATTATTCATAACAAGCAATACAAAAATAATTGTTTTGATTCTGCTTTGGGTTCATGGTTTGGGATTTGGGGTGGTGAGAAAGTGCAATGGTGGTGGGATTGGTGTTTGAATATTAAATGAATTATTGTGAACAACTTTATGAAAATAAAATAAAATAAATTTTTTTTTAAAAAGTGATTTGGGGCCAGAACAATTCAGCAGCTAGGATGCTTGCCTGTGTGCGGGCCTTCCCCAATTCAATCCTCAGCACCCCATATCGTCCCATGAAGCCCTGCTAGTAGTGATCCATGAGCATAGAGCCAAGAGCAAGAGCAACCCCTGTGCAGTGCCAGGTGTGCTTCCCACCCCTAGCCCATAACACCAAAAAAAAAAAAAAAAGTTTTGGAAAGAATGGGGGGGAAAATTATAATAATTGCTAATTAATGTTTGGCAACTTTTTTGTCAATGAGTAGTATCATCTGGTCTCAGATGATCCATAGTTCCTCAGCTGTATTGGATCTATCATTCCATTGAGTTCATCAACCAGATGTTATTTCTTATATGCCTAACTCAGGATAGCACATACTTAAGGCTGCATTACTTTGGGACTAAAGTGGATGTCTGGAACTGTTCTCTTTCCCAGGGAGCTCATCCGCTGTTTGAAGTGGTACATGGACTGCTCAGCAGAACTGATTCGTCAAGATCACATTCAGGAAGCCATGCGGGTAATTATTGACCTCACTATACAAAAAAAGGGCCCACCTTGCATTTTTTGTGAATAATCTCAATGGCGTAGTATGTAGGACAAGTATTGCCATCCCTCTACTATGGCCAACTTTCCAGAAAAACCTAATTCACGTAATTCTCCTTTCCTTACCTTGATTTTGCCTCCAGAAGAATTTTTTAATGGTAGTAACTTTGGTTAATAATATAACATAGGTTTAAGATATAAAGCATTATAATTTTACATCGATATGTACTGCATAATACATTATGCTACCAAAAATATAATATCCACCCACCCTCATGTTAAATGACTGCTTTTCATTCATCCAATTTATCCAGTCCCTGTGTCTTCCCCAATGAAAACTACCATTTTGTTCTCATAAATTAATACTTTGGTTTTGTTTATCTATTTTCTTTATCTTGAATACAGGAATAGAGTACACAGTATTTATCTTTTTTCATATGACTTATTTTTACTTAGAATAATGCCTTTTTGGTTTATCCAGGTTGTCACAATGGTAAGACTTCATCTTTCTTAAAAAATAGCTTGACATTATTGTGTAATAGACAGCATCTTATTTAATGATTCATTCATTGATGTTTCCCATGATGCCTATTCCTGGTAGTTTTTATGTTAAAGCAGGAGAAAGAACTGATATGTACACAGCTCCTGGCCATCACTCCTGCCTTTTTAATGAGAGGTATCAGTTTTTTCTTCTATGACGAAAATGTCATATCTCCTCCAAGCAAATGTTGGTGCACCAACATCATAATAATTTTTCCTTCTTCAGTTGACAACTAAACATTGTTTTGATTTAATTTGTGGTCCATACCCAGGAGTAGGGTCTACTCCTGGCTTGATTGCTCAGGGGTGGCTTATGACAGTGCTCAGGTGACCTTGGAGTGTTAGGAATCAAAGCTGGGCCATGTGCAAAGCCTGCACTCCAGTCCTTTGTGTTATGTCCCTACCCATAATTGTTTTTAGAACTGTTTCAAGTTATAAGAGAGTTGTGGAATAAGACATATAGCACATGATTGCCTGTGTGAGGTTGTGAGCTGGAGCCCTGGCATTGCTCAAGGTGATCTCTGGAACTGTCATATGTGATCGTCAGTACCACAACCAAGCATGGTAACCAAGCAAAGCCGGCAAGCTACCCATGACGTATTCAATATGCCAAAACACAATATGCCTATACCACAAAAAAATATACCATCCCAGGGTTTGAGGGCTGTGACATCTGTCACCCCATTTATCACCAGGGTTGATTTGGCTGATTGGCTGGCTAAGTGGATATACCCTTCCTCTGTCACCACTCCAAGTGCCTCCCTCCCAAAGCTGCATGCTTGGTTAAAGAAGACAACCTTCCCTGAATATAAACTAACTGTTCTTCAGTCAAGAGTATGTGAGTAGCTGCATTCCCCTGCTACAACCTCCAAACAAACTCTCAAATATACAACCTACCAATCTCTCAAATATAAATATAAAATATTTATAAAAAATAAATATAAATATAAACACTACAAATATAAAAATGTAGAGGCCTCAACTACACACATAATAAAGTTACTTTATATTTTTTTTTAATTTAAAAAATAATAGGTTCAGAAAGCCTGAGAACAGACATATGAATAAAGGAACTATCGTACATCTACACAATCGAATACTACACAGCTGTTAGGAAAAATAAGGTCATGGAATTTGCCTATAAATGGATAGATTTGGAGAGTATCATGCTGAGTGAAATAAGTCAGGAGAGGGACAGATATAGAATTACTGCATTTATTTGTGGAATATAATAAAAAAAAAACCCAAACAATATGACACTAATACCCAATGCCAGGGAAAATGGGCCAGGGGGACTGGTCATTAGTTGGTCAGTGTTGTGGGGGATGGATGGTAGTTAAGATAGAGGAGGATCTGCTATGACTATACTAGTTGGAAATGATCACTCTGGACAAGACTAAGTCTTGAAAGCAGGTGAAAGGATATCCATAATAATCTTTCAGCATCTGTATTACAAACCATAATGCCTAAAATGAGAGAGAAAAAGAGGAGGAGAGTGAGAGAAGAGAGGTGCCTGCCATAGAGGCAAGCTGAGTGAGGGGATAGCTTGAAGGGGTGGAAGGGAAAGTAGAGACACTGGTGCTGAGAAATTACACTGATGGTGGTATGGGTGTTAGAACATTGTATGACTGCGACGCAATCATGAACAATTTTCTAATGCTCTATCTCACGGTGATTCAATAAAAAAAATTTTAAACAAAAAATAGGTTCAGTAACAGTTGTCCTGTAACTCTGTATATCATTACTATTAATGTAAACATTGTTGGAATCTTATACACAGACTATAATAAAAACAAACTTTTTGATAAAAATATTAGTTACCCAAAAAGGGCTGGAGTGATAGCACAGCAGGTAGGGCATTTGCCTTGCATGCGGCCAACCCGGCTAACCCGGGTTCGATTTCTCTGCCCCTCTTGGAGAGCCCGGCAAGCTACCAAGAATATCACGCCCACACGGCAAAGCCGGCAAGCTACCCATGACGTATTCAATATGCCAAAACACAGTAACAACAAGTCTCACAATGGAGACATTACTGGGCCCGCTTGAGCAAATCAGTGAACAGCGGGAGGACAGTGCTACAGTGCTGTTTACCAAAAAAATATGATTTGACAGGGATATTAATTTCAAGGGCTAAGCACATGCCTAACATGCAGAAGCTCCAGGCTAAATTTCTGACCATTCATAGTCTTTTAAGTACATGGAGGTGGTCCTGAAGCACCCAAAGCTTTGCTTGGGAGAGCCCCACCACCAAGAAAAAAAGAACTGTTTTAAGTAAAAAGAGCTGAGTGAATATTCTCTGTTGATATGTTGAGATAATCTTAAAGCCTTGGTCTTTATTGATAACATAGGTGCCCCATGGCAATATATCCCTGTTTAAACCAGCTTCCTTCACATTGTTGGGCAACTCTAATTTATAGGGGCCTATCCTCATTAGTGAATTAACTCTGCTTTCTAGTGACTTCATGACTACTTCTACTCTAGAAATCAGCTGAGAGTGTCCATCCGTCTTTTGTTCCATAGTTTTCCAGATGGCTATTGGAAGAAACTTGTGGTATTCATCAGCAACTCACTTAAAGCAAATTCTTGCTTTCTGTTTTAAGCCTTGTCTTTCTTTGCACTTAAGTTACCTTTTTTTTGGAAAGGGAATGGGGGTATCTCTCAGGTGTTTCTCAGGAAACTTTGATTCTTAGTGTTTTTTAGTTTTCCAATGTTTAGTGCCAAGGGCCAAGGATGAAGTGTTACTTGGTCCCTACCTTATAGTGCATACTGTTGACTGGGCCACCACAGTAGTTCTTGGTGTTCTTCCAGGCTATGTTCGGTAATAATCAAGGGACTATGTGTTGTTGGGGATAGAATTGAAGTCAGCTGCATACAAGGCATATGCCTTTACTCCTGTATCATCTCTTTGACTTCTAGAGTTACTTTCTTTAAAAATAGCTTTTTTAGAGCCAGAGAGTTAATATGGCAGGTGCACTTGCCTTGCACACAGTAGATCCAGGTTTGATTCTTGGTATCCCATATGATCCCCCGAACCCACAGGAGAGATCCCTGAGTGCAGAGCTAAAAGTAAGCTCTGAGCACCACAAGTTGTGGCCCCAAAAATTAATTAATTAATTGATTAAATAAACAGAAGGAACTTTTAAAACGATGTATTTCCTACCCCTCTATTTAGCAGTAGAGTAATAGCAAAAAAAAAAAAAGAAAAAAAAAGAAGTGGTGCTTCTTTTTTTTGGTATCACATCATCTGTGCAAAGTACTCTTGGATCTGTAATTTCGTTATTCTTTTCCATATGGTGACAGATAAAAGTGATGTTTCCTCAAGCATTTTCTGATGAAGAGGCAAAATCAGATCATAAATCTCTTTGCCCCTGCTTCTTTTCTTTTCTGCACATTCTGTAAAATTTCAAAGCCAAAAATCTCACTTCTGTGCTCCTTCATACAATACATGTCTTCAGAGGAGTCAGCATCTGGAATAGGCATTAAAATGGCAAAAGGAGTAAGACCATCCCAGTGTTCTAAGGGTAAACAGGCACAAGCACAGCTGTAGTACAGCATTCTGGGTAGGTTGTGAGGGTAGGGTCTGGTTTCTGGTCTCCTCTGTGCCCCACCATTTGTCAGGTGTCCTGTTTATTTCAGGGGATAAAAGTTGCACTGAATGCAAAAGTCAGTGTGAATCTGTAAATTATTTAAGGATACGATAGAAAGTATCACAGAAGAAACTGCTTTTCATAAGAACCATTCATTCATTCATTCATTCTTTTAGTCAATATTTTGTCATTCTTTCAGTCAATATTGATTCCTTCCATGTTTACTAGCCCTTGAGGACCCAAGAGGAAAAAACCTAATTCATCACACTTTCAATGTAATGTGGAAAACAAACACATACATAAAGTCAATTAGGAAAAAATGAGTACTATGTCAGAAATAAATAGGATCATAGGACTGGAGAGGAATGTTTACCTTTGATCTAGAGTTTAGGGTAAAACCGTAAAATCAGTGAAATCAGTATAAAGAGCTATGAGAAAAACATTCCAGAGTGAGAAAATATGTTTAAGTCTGGATGAGAAAGAATTTAAGTTTTCAAGTAGCAAAAAAAGTGCCTCATGTGACCAACACAGGGGCTTTCTAAAGTCAGATTGGATATAGAAAGTGACGGAAAGGGACAATAAAGGCTGTTTCCAAGGGGTCTGGCTTCATTATTATAGCTGATAGCAAATTACCTATGATGGTGTAGAATTCCTGAAGAAGACCAATCTTGGGTGAGAAAAAGAAAGTTTGGAGCACTTTTCTTCTTGATCTTACCCTTCCAACCTGTTTTTTTGGGGGGGATGTCACACCCAGCGATGCTCAGGGGTTACTCCTGGCTTTGCACTCAGGAATTACTCCTGGCGGTGCTTGAGGAACCATATGTGGTACTAGGAATCGAACCCAGGTTGGCCGCGCACAAGCCAAACGCCCTACCCACTGTACTATAGCTTCAGCCCCTCTTCCAACCTGTTTTACTTACTTGATCACTTGATATCCCATTACTCATCAATTTATTCAAGCGTGCTCCAGTAATGTCTCCATTCATTCCTTTTGCATGCTAGTGTGGCTCAATGGCATCTGCTCGTTCTAGGAACATGAAGAGCTTCAAACCGATTGTTCAGGGTCTTGACGAAGAAGTCTTTTGACGTCCCGTGGAATCCAGTTGGTAATGGCTCTAGTACAGCGGTTGTCTCTAAATCTCATTACATGTCCAGCCCATCTGATTTTCGATGCCCTGGAAAACGATACGGCATCCCTGATTCTTGAGCATTGACAGAGGTCGGAACTCCGGATTCTTTCTCTCATTTGAGTGAAGCGTGATACTCCAAGCATAGCTCTTTGATACTCCAAGCATAGCATTCCTCTTTGAGACCCAAATAGCGTTCTCATCCTGTTTTCGTAGGGCCCAGGTCTCTGAGGCCCAGGTCTCTGAGGCGTATGTTAATGCAGGAAGAACAGTGGAATCGAAGAGATGTGCTCAGAGCTGGAGGTTCTTCATCCTCTTAGCTATTTCTTCAACGTTCTTGAAGGCGTTCCAACCCGCTCTCTTCCTCCTGCGCAACTCAGGTGCCAGGTCATTCGTCACGTTGACTTCTGAGCTAGGTACACATAACTGTTGTATTCGGAGATGGTCGTTCCATTGAGAGTGAACGGAACGTCAGGAACAATGTTTCTCATGAACATTGTCTTTGTGAGATCCAGCTGTAATCCGACCTTTCCACACTCATGGTCGAAGTCGGTCAGCATTTGTGTGGCTTGGCTTATGTTTGGTGTTATTAGAACGATGTCATCAGCAAAGCGGAGGTGGTGTAGTTGCCGACCATCTATCTTTACTCCCATTCCTTCCCGTTCCAGTCGTCACATGACGTTCTCGAGGGTGGCACTGAAGAGTTTCGGTGAAATAGTATCACCCTGCCGAACCCCTCTCTTGACATGGATGATCACTTCTTTGAAGAATAGTGAGATCACAGCTCACGGAGGATCCTGATGTATTGAGTTTGAACGCCCTGACTGGCTAGGGCTTCGATGGCTGCTTCTGTCAACAGAATCAAAGGCCTTCTTTAAATCAATGAATGTTAGACAGAGCAGCATCTTGAACTCCTGAGAAACCTCAATAAGTTTGGTTATCGTGTGGATATGGTCGATGGTGCTGAATCCTTTTCGGAACCCGGCTTGCTCGCATGGTTGTCCTTCATCTAGTGTTCTGCCAATCCTATTCAGGATGACTCGAGTGAACAGCTTGTAGATGACAGACAATAGGCAGATTGGGTGCTAGTTGCCAATGTCGTGGATGTCTCCCTTCTTGTATAGTAGTAGAGTCCTGCTGGTTTTCCACTGGGACGGAACCTTGCATTCAGACAGGTAGCATGTGAAGAGCCGAGCCAAAAAAAAGGTAGGTTTTACTTACACCTATAACAAATATATCTAGTACTAAGTTTCATCAGGCCATTTCCCCTTTATCAAAATCTCAGCATTTAAGTCCTCTTGGCCAAACTGTGCACTATAGCACTGTCCTCCCATTGTTCATTGATTTGCTCGAGTGGGCACCAGTAACGTCTCCATTGTGAGACTTGTTGTTACTGTTTTGGGCGTATCCAATACGTCACGGGGAGCTTGCTGGGCTCTGTTGTGTGGTCAGGATACTCTTGGTAGCTTTCCAGGCTCTCTGAGAGGGACGGAGGTTAAGCCCGTATATAAGAAAATACAAGTAAGTATGTTAAAACCAAACACATATATGCTGCTTTAGGTGCATCAGTGGACTAGACTCAAAATGGTCTAGATTTTAGTGATAAGAAAATTAATTTTCTTTTAACATTAGACTATAAAAAAGAATTTCCAGATTTATGCATTAAAGACAATTAAAAGATACTATAACAGAAGCTGGAGCATTTATGGAAATGAGGCACTTCTACAGAATCTTATAGTAAAAGCCTTAGAAGACATATTTTTCTCAATTTTTCTTTCTCTAATGACAATTGAGGACCACAAATTTTATTTTTGTTTTGTTAGTTCTTCTAGCAGATGAATAGGCTATGAAAGATCATTTGGAAATTGTCTCCTATCAGAAATATATATATGATCTATCATCTATATATCTATCCCTTTATTTTTTCAAGTAACTGATGCCATTATTTGATCATTGGATAGGTTCCAGTATATCTGGTTTTCTAGTGTATGAGAATCTCTGCTATTTCTTTAATTAGAAATCATTGTCTTGGATCTTAAATTTTCTTAGAAAAGAATTAATCTAGTCATTATCATGATCCAAGTTGCAGGGACTCCTTAGAATATGATTCTGCTCCCAGAACATTTTATGGGAACTTTTTCCTCAGTATTGTTCAAGAACTGTTCCTGGCTGGTGTTCTGGTCTTCAAGAAGCCAAAGAGTAGTGTCTCAGTCTTCCAGCTGTTGTGCAACCTGGAGTAAGTTTTCTCTGAATTTGACCACAGGAAAGAAGACTGGCACTCTGTAAGGCCCAAGATATATAATTATATGTATATATACATACATATATACGTATATATATATCATAGATACAGAAGACTCGTTAAAGAATTTTTGTGCAAGAGGCAGAGGAAAAGTATAGTGGGTAGGGCACTTGCATTGTACACAACTGATCCAGGTTCAGTCCCTAGCATCCCATATGGTCCCCTGACTACCACCAGGAGTGATTCTTGAGCGTAGAGCCAGTATACCACAGGGTGTGCCTCCCACAAAAAAAAAAAAAAAGAATTTTCATGCAGGAGAGATAGTACAGGAGTTAAAGCAATCGCCATGTATGTGGCCATCCCTAGCACAACATAATAGTTCACTCAGCACAGAGCCAGAAGTAAATCCTGAGCATCAGGACTGGGTGTGTCTAAAACACAGAACAAAAAATAATTCTTAATTCTTGGAATAAATTCTTGGAATAGATTAATGAGTTTTATATTTTTGCCTTTGGAGCTTCTTTCCAGACATCGCAAAAAAAGTTAAGAAAAACTTAATTTTATTTCTATCCTACCTGTTCTTGAATTAAGCTACTTCTATTGTAGTCTGTTGTTACTAACCTCCAGGACCTCATCAAAAATTGAAATAATTTTGGGGCTGGAGCGATAGCACAGCGGTAGGGCATTCGCCTTACAAGCGGCCAACGTGGCCGACCCGAGTTCGATTCCTCCGCCCCTCTCGGAGAGCCCGGCAAGCTACCGAGAGTATTCGATATGCCAAACACAGTAACAACAAAGTCTCCAATGGAGACGTTACTGGGCCCGCTTGCTCGAGCAATTTAATGATTATCAGTAACAACAGCTTCTATCCAGTGATCTTTTGAGGAAAAAGTTTGAAAATTAAATAAAATTTTTATTTCTATAGAATGAACAATTTTAAATGTTCATTGTCTGATTTTGGTATCAAATTTGACGTTATTTTGCCTTTCATTCCCTTTCATATTGGTTCCTACCCATTTTAAAACCTCTCAATTTCTTTTCCTCCCACACATCTAGGCCTTGGAGTACCTTTTCAAGTTCATTGTACAGTCAAGGATCTTGTACTCACGAGCCACCTGTGGAATGGAAGAGGAGCAGTTCCGGTCCAGCATCCAAGAACTTTTCCAGTCCATTCGGTTTGTGCTCAGTCTGGACAGCAGAAACTCAGAAACACTCCTTTTCACTCAGGTCTGTGAGCTTCAAGGAATGTTTGTGGCCTGAAAGGAAGTTTTTTTTGTTTTAGCAAGTGGTTTATTTGTCCTATTTCTGGCTTAGTGAGGCCTCGGCAGACTTTGGCATGCTGATTAAGAACTTTATAGAATAAAATGCTGATTTTATTTCAAAGACCTCTCTGCCTTTGAAACCAAATGTGAAATAGCTCAGTGTTGTTGGCTTTCGAGTTTTGTTTGTTTTTGATGAAGAACAATGTTGTTCTCAGGAACATACTCAATGACAGATTTTATTTAGCTGCCATACTATTGATTGTTTATGAATGTCTGATTTATAACAGACATTTAAAATGTCTTGGAGATTTTGTTCCTAGTCATTAATTTAAGAAATTTAGAACAGGGACCAAAGTAATACAGGAGTTAAGGTATAAGCCTTGCATGAAGCCAACCCTCAATTAATCCCCAGCACCACATGGTTCTCTCAGCATCACTGGATTTAGCCCTGGAGACCCCTTGCAGTCCTGAGTGTGCACCTGAATGTGTGTTCAAGAACATTCAGGATGGCCCAGGTAATCTCTGCCGTCACAGAGCCCAAGAAGAGCATCCTCAGATCCTGATACTGAACCCCCAGCCTGGCTCACTGGAGGTGGCCTTTGGGTCTTTTGAGCTCCTCCTGGGAAGCCCTCCCAAACTAAAGAAAAAGAAAATGTTTAAATAATATATGTCTATTCTAGGGGTTAAGAATGAAATTGTTTGAGGCTAGAGAGATAATACAATGGGTAAAGTGCTTGCCTTGCACGTGGCCAACCTGGGTTCAATCCCTGATATCCTAAATGGTCCTCCAAGTGCCTCCAAGTGCCTCCAAGGAGTGAGTCCTGAGTGCAGAGCCAGGAGTAACCTCTAAGCATTGCTGAGTGTGACCCAGAAAGAAAACAAAAGAATGAAAGTTTGGAAACAGCAGAAATTCATATAATTATTTGACAAAGAATTAAGTTGATATTCTTTTAGAAGTGCCAGTGTGGGAGGGATATTTGCTTCCTTATCTGTACCATTTCCATGCACCTTCATCTACAAAGGAACAAGAATATTGTTCCAGTCATTTCCCCAATAACAGAGATTTATTTTTTTAATCTCAGAATTTTATACATTGGATTACATTTATCTGATTTTTTTAAGTCAGTTACTTTATCCTAACCTGTAAAAAAAAAGATTTCTTTCATGTCCATTCACTCAGTTACTGTAAGATTGTCATTAATGCAAATGTATGATTGAATATTTCATTTAAAAATCGATGAGCTTTGACTGGGTGCATTCTTTGCATGCAGGAAATCCAAGTTAAATCCCCAGTACATGGTCCCTTGAGCACCTCTGGGAATGATCCCCAAGCACAGAATATTACTGGGTAGTAGCTCTCCAACACAACCGCTGTACTCTTTACCTCTGTGTAATGAGTATATATATATATATCACTACACACTATGGCTCAAAAAGAGAAACAGAAATAGAATAGACTTTTTGTGTTGTCTCTATTTTTATTTGTCTTTTTACAAAGACAAAAATAACTTGTACTTGTTAATTTTTGACAGGTTTTTGGTCTACACCTGGCTCAGGTACTCAGGGCTTAATCCTGGCTCTGTATTCAGGAATCACTCCAGGAGGGCTTTGGGAACCATGTGGGGTGCTGGGGTCAACCCTGGGTCAGCCAATTACAAGGCAAGGGCCTTACCTGCTATACTATCTTTCCAGCCCTTTTGATTTAGATCTAAGTAGTATTAAGGTTTAAGTGTCCATCTGTCTTGGTGCATAAATATGGGAAATTTTACCATTTAAGAGAGTAAATTAGCTACTCTTTGTTGTTAGTTATAAAAATCTTGCTTTGCCCCATTTGTCTTTGTATATATCTGCTTTTGTTATTATATTTTGTACTGATTCTGAATACTACAAAACAGATCTCACTGATAGCTCAGGGAGTTGTAAATCATACAAGTTTTGTATACCTGGATCTGATCTGAACATAGTGTAACAGCCCTACTTCCCTAATGGCATAAAATATTGATCAGTATCTACTATCTGATGAAGAGGACAAGGAAAACCACCTCGTCCTACAGCCCCCTCACCACACACCCATAAACACACACGCCACACACACACTCACATAATAGGTAATTATAAAGAATGCATAACCCTTCCTTTGTCAAAGGGTTTGTCCCTTTTCTTTTGTGAATCTTGAGTTAATGATGTAAGAGTCCGAGAAGCAAGAAAAGACCTCCAATTTGCCTCTTCTTTTTAAATAGAATGAGAATAATATTTTTGAAGGCCTGCTGTGTATCAGACACTCTCTTGATAATTATATATCTATATTTCTCATATCAATACCAGACTATTTATTAAATATTCTTTATTTCTTCAGTTAGCAAAATGAGAATTAGATAGTAACTCACCCAGGGTTATGTGGTAGAGAAGTGGTAAAGCTGTTGTTTGAACTCATATTCAAGTGGGATTTGTCCTAATTCCAAAACCCATTATCTTTCTTTTATGGTACTCCCTCTCAGAGGCTCTGGAAATAACACCTTGTCCTCAGGGACTTCCTTCATGTACCTACCAGAGCTATGATTCTAAAACAGAACACAAACACACATACTACATTGCTTACCTGGGCAAATCTATGTCCATACTGCTAATCTATGTCAGAATTATCAATAATCATCAAGAGTTTGTGACTAATTCCATCCACACATTCTCCGTCCTTTTGGATTTACACTTGCATTTGCCAGGAATTATGTTAAGGAAATAATTCACAAAATCTTCAGATTTCATGACTTCAAATTAAAGTCTCTATCCTGAAGTAATGGTCTAGTCTCAGAGCTGAATTACTGTGCAGGGCTGTGAGTAGAGTTCAGCTAGTACTACTTGGACATGCTCAGCTATCTCTACCATATGTTCTTTGAGAGGTATCTGGCTTGAATTTGGAAACTCAGACCTACTGAGATTGGAAAGCCAAGCACTTGAAAATGGAGACAGACAAAATTAAATAGTGACCAGAGAGCTAGGACAGCAGGTAGGGTGCTTGGTTGCACACACCAAGCAGGATTTAATCCCTACTACTACATATGAGTGATAGCACAGCCGGTAGTATTTACCTTGCACACTCTAGCTGACCCGGGTTCAGTTCCTCTGCCCCTCTCAGAGAGCCCGGCAAGCTACTGAGAGTATCTCGCCTGCATGGTAAAGCCTGGCAGGCTACCCTTGACGTATTTGATATGCCAAAAACAGTTAACACGTTTCACAATTTGTTGTGAGGTGTTACTGGTGCCCGCTCGAGGGGCAATGGGAGGAACAGTGCTACTACATAAGATCATGGCAGAGCTGGCAAGCTACCCGTGGTGTATTTGATATGCCAAAAACAGTAACGAAAACAGGTCTCATTCCCCGACCCTGAAAGAGCTTCCAATACGGCAGCGTTGGGAAAAATGAGTAAGGAGAGGCTGCTAAAACCTTAGGGCTGGCGAGATAAGTACCAGGAGGTTCACTCCATGGCCGAGAAGCCAGCTGCTCATGCTGGGGGAAAAGGCAGCTCAGATAGAGAAGGGAGCACCAAATAAAGAGTGTTGGGAGGATCCTCCCAGGATGAGAGATGCATGCTGAAAGTGGACTATAGACCGAACGTGATTGCCACTCAATGCCTCTTTTGCAAACCACAGCACACAAAAGGAGAGAGAAAACAAAAGGGGATGCCCTGCCACAGGGGTGGGGTGGGATGGGGGGATGAGGGGTGGGAGGGATATTGGGAGCATTGGAGGTGGAAAATGGGCACTGGTGGAGGGATGGGTACTCAATCATTGTATAACTGAAATCCAAGCACAAAATTTGTATGTCTATAACTATGCCTCATGGTGTTTCACTAATAAAAATTTCAAATGAAATAAAATCTTAGAGCTGGGACAAATGGAGACGTTACTGACACCCGCTTGAGTAAATCAATGAACAACAGGATGACCGTGATACAGTGATACTACATATGATCCCCCACCCCACCAGAAGTAATCCCTAACCACCGAGCCTAAAATAAACCCTGAGCACTGCAAGGCATTGCCCAAAAAACAGACCAAAAAAAATCCTTTTTTTGTTTTATTTTTAATTTTGTGGTCCAGAGACTAAATTCAGGGTCTCACAGACAGGATGCATGCACTCTACCTCTACACCACATTCCAAAAATTTCAATTAAATCCATCTTTTCAACAAAATCATTTGTGAGAGATCCAGAAATATCTTGGCAGTTTACAAAAATTTGAAGTGTCCTATCTCTCAGCAAATTGTCATGTTTCCTTCTTATTCTTCTTTCTCCAAGAAGCACTTCTTGCCCAAAGAGCACTGTAAGAATGAATAGATTCAATGAATAAGACAAAGCCCACCCTTCACAGGAGTGCCACAAACTTTTTTTCAGCCTCTCACTCCTACCTGTTAATGACTGAGCATAAAAGTTAGGCACATACCTGGGGGCTGAAGCAGTAGTATGGTAGGTAAGGTACTTACTTTGCACACAGCTGAACCAGGTTCGATCTCCATCATCCCATTTAGTCCCCTGATCACTGCCAGGAGTAATTCCTAAGTGCAAATCCAGGAGTAAACCTTGAGCATCGCTGGGAATGGAACCTAAAACAAAAAACAAACCAAAAAAAAATTAGACACAAACCTAACTCTGACTAACCACAGTTTCACTTTGTTTGCACAGGCTGCGCTCCTCAATTCCTTCCCAACCATCTTCGATGAACTGTTGCAAATGTTCACTGTGCAGGAAGTGGCAGAGTTTGTGAGAGGAACACTGGGGAGCATGCCCAGCACTGTACACATTGGGCAGTCTATGGATGTGGTAAAGCTTCAGTCAATTGCCAGAACTGTGGACAGTCGCCTCTTTTCTTTCTCAGGTAAATCATCTTGGGATGAGGGTCAGATTCTCTTCCTTTTCAGGGTGGTAGCTGTGTGGTGTAATCAAATTTAAACCATCATACACAAAGCCAGTAAGCCACAAAATGAAATTTTTATTTAACTGTATTAGAGAATACAATTATATCATAGGTCTGTTGTCTAAGTTTATTCCTAGATATCCACATCCTGGGGCATGCCCATGGGACAGCTGCAGAGCAACCCTCCATGCCCACAAGTTTAGCCAACCTCTTAGAATGAGACTTGCCACACCCAGGTTGTAAAAGCAGAAGAAAATAAAGGGAACAATAGGGAAAGTTCTAGTTCAAGGAAATAAGGAAAATCAAAGATATATAAGAGAGAGGCCCTGAGGACTCAGTGTACTTTTTCAGTTTTGTTTCTCACCAGAAAGCTAAATCCTATTTCTTCTCCATGAGGGAACTTCTAAGGATTAGACAATAAGGTATGTAGGGAGCCCTCATGTTACCCAAGAGATCAGGGCAGTATAGCAAATATCTTCAGCAGCTCAGAGTTGCCTTTCTGAAAGAATCTCCAGATTCATCCCTGAAACTTTATTGAACATGCTCAAATTCAGCCTTGTAGTGCTACCAAATACTCAATGGCAAAAAAATTTTTTATTTAGGTACTGTGATTAATAATAATGTTCATGGTGGTTTCCTGTAGGATAACATTGGTTTGTCCTTTCTGCCTTGCCAGGGGGAGCTTAGGTTTATTGGGTTACTCCCATCACAGTGCTCCCGAGACACTCCCATTCATCTGTGTTTATCTGTAACCTCTTTCTTTGTGCTCTACTTCCCCAGTCAACTTTATCTCCTAATCAGACTCTGTTAAACTTGTAAATATTGCTTTACTCTTCTCCCTGTGTACTTTGCATAGTCAATTCAGAGCAATGTCCTTTTTTTATAGACACAGGAAGACAGTTAATGCTATGCTTTTGTAACCTGGGAGTTAATTGACTCTGAATAATATTCACTCCTGGGCATCTGTTTTCTCAACTTAAACCTCAGTTGCCATTTATTCCATTCTCCCCATGCGCCTGTTCCAGTCTCACTAAGCTCCCCATCCCAGCCTCCTCCTGTTCCCCTTGCTGGTCTCTCTGCACTTCAGCTTGCAGTCCTGGTCTCTCCTCTAGTCTCTCTCAATGTCCCAACCTTGGCAACCATACCTAGGTCTGGTAGCACAATCAACATATCAAAAGAGGGTATGTTGTATGCAGCCAGGAGCTCCAGCTTAAGGGCAAAAATACCACCTAGGTAATCATTTAAACATTCATCATAATTCTACAATAGTCATTTAAACATTCATCATAATTCTACATCTTAATATTAGTCATTTTGTATGGACACAGTAAGTAACACATTAAGCTTGTAGGGTGGCTCTCCTGGGGACATCTCGCTATAAATCCCAGACTACAGTGCTCAGGGCAGATTACTCTTTCCTAACCCTAGCAGGATCTTAATCCAGTTGTTACTTTTTGGATCATAACAGATTTGTCCATGACCATGCTCTTAACTTATAGTTAGTATCATGGCACTTTGGCCTGGTCCATTTTGATGCCAGGGTAGCTCGCAGCTTGCCCTGGGTCCATTCAGTCTCTTGTCGGGACCCTGCTTTTGGGGTGCTCGGAAGTAAGGGCAACTGAGGCTTACGTCGAGAAAACAGATGCCCAGGAGTGAAAATTATTGGAGTCAATTAACTCCCAAGTTACACAGGCATAGCATTAATTGTCTTCCTGTCTTCCTGTGTCTATACAAAAAGGACAGTGCTCTGAATTGACTATGCAAAGGACATAAGGAGAAGAGAAAAGCAATACTTACAAGTTAACAGAATCTGATTAGGAGATAAAGGTAATTGACTGACTGGGGAAGCAGAGCACAAAGAAAGAGGTTACAGATAAACACAGAGGAATGGATGTGTCTTGGGACCACTGTGATGGGAGTAACACAGTAAACCTAAACTCTCTGTGACAAGGCAGAAAGGACAAACAAATGTTATTCTACAGTTTCTCGTACATATAATTCAGCAACACCCTTATCACCACGGTACCTACCTCCTTCTCTCAAAGACCCCAATGCCCCTCCCACCTTCCACCGACTCAGTTGTGTTCTCTTACTATGTTGTCTTTGGAGCTATGTTGCTACCTTGTGTATCTTTAAGTCCCATATTCTGAGTGAGATCATTCTGTATCTCTGTTCCTTTCTTTCTTACTGACTTCACTCAGCATGAAAATCTCTAGTTCCATCCATGTTGCTGCAATTGCATGATTTCATTCTTTCTTAGAATTGCATAGTATTCCACATCCACACCATCACTTGTTGTTCTTGTGCTTTTTGATGTGCACAGGTACCAGTCTCTATGGTGTGAGTTGATATTTCATTGTTGTTTTGATTTGCATCTCCCTGCTAATTAGTGATAAGAAAATTTTTTCATATGCCTCTTTGTCATTTGTATTTCTTCTTTGAGGAAGTTTCTGTTCATTTCTTCTCCCCATTTTTGATGGGGGTTGGATGATTTTTTCTTATAAAAGTCTACCAGCACCTTATGTAAAGGTAAAGGTAAAGGCCCTCCCGTTGATCGTCGATTTGCTCGAGCAGGCCCAGTAACGTCTCCATTGGAGACTTTGTTGTTACTGTGTCTGGCATATCGAATACTCTCGGTAGCTTGCCGGGCTCTCCGAGAGGGGCGGAGGAATCGAACTCGGGTCGGCCATGTTGGCTGCGTGCAAGGCAAACCCCTACCGCTGTGCTATCGCTCCACCCTTATGTATCTTTGATATTAACCCCTACCGGTTGAGTTTCGGGTAAATAATTTTCCACTGGCTGTCCTTGTATCAGAGACATTTCCTTTGAGGTACAGAAGCATCTTAATTTAATGTAAGCCCTAAAACGAAATGAAGAAAAAACACTTGCACCCCTATGTTTCTTGTAGCACTATCCACAATAGGCAAAATTTGAAGATAACCCAGTTGTTCAAGAACAGATGACTGGATAATGAAACTATGATACGTATACACTATAGAATATTATTCAGCCATAAGATAAGATAAACTCATGAAATTTGCTGCCACATGAAGTGACCTAGAGAGTAAAATTAGTCAGAGTGAGAGAGTGCCACAGAATGATCTCACTCATATGCGGGATATAAAGAAATATAATGGTGAGGTAACAAATACCCAAAGACAAAGGAAACAAAGAATATGAGAACTGGTATTCAGTAGGAAATTTGCCACTTGGGGGACAGTACTACACAGGACAGTGAGGGGCAATATCTGTGGTAGAGGAAAACATTAAATTGGGAGGAGGAGGTGGTACTGGAAGGTGGTAAAGTGTTATTTATGAAACCCTATCATACACACACACACACACATATATATTATATATATATATATATAAAGCCTCTTGTAGAAGCAGATTGGTAGACTGGTATGAGGGAGGCAAGTGGGAGGGGAGCGGTGGTAGAGGAAAGTGCACACTGGGGAAGGAAATGGTGTTGTAGCATTATATTCCTGAAACCTAATTATGAATAACTGTAATAATCCAATAAAATTTTTGATCAGATATAGTACTTTAATATTGCATAATCAGTGGCCATGTAAGTTGCAGAAATTCAGAAATATTATCATAGTTGTATTTCACTTTAAATCTTCTTGCCACACTATACAGTAAAGGCAGAGAGGTCATTGGCCCCTCATTTTGATTTGGAGGGAGATAAATCCCATAGACAAAGGCAATTTGGGTAAGGTCTTAGATTTTAAAAAAGTTTGAGTTAGGGTTCAACCTTCTTGAACTCAGGGTTCTAAATATAATCACCTCCTGATAAAAATGCTATTCATGTAGCACTGAGGAGCGAATGAGACATTTGAACTTAAGCATTGGGAAGGTTAGATGACTTTTAAAGGCTTATGAGAAGACAGAAGTCCTGATTCTATTTGCTTCATTGCTGTGGACACTCTAGAAACCCACAGTTGAGAGGAAAGGAAGCAAAATAATCACTTGCTGAATAGAACTGATATTCCACTTAACCAGGACATCAGGAAAAGGGGTTGCTTATAATCCATATCAACCCTGCATTTAATATAGTCCAGAGAGCTAAATATATCATTTAAATAGGGGGAGGTGTTCACTCTTAGTTTTGCTTTTAATTTGAAGTTTAGTCATCAGAGAGATTTTATTTGGAAGTGGTCTCCTAACGTCAACTACACAAAGTGTCTCTGACACTAAGGCTTAAAATGAGAACTATGGGAGAAATGGAATTTCTGGAATTTCTTATAGTGTCCATGAAATGGACTTGAAGTTCTTCATAAGGATAAAAGTGATTTCCTTCAGTTTCAGTCTCAGCCTCCCACCTAATTTAAGACCTGCAGGTTCCACAATATTATAGCCCTCTTCTTCACTTCACTTGTGTCTTCACTTGCTCTTCTTCACTGTGTCTTTTCTCTCCCAGAATCTCGTCGCATCCTGCTTCCAGTGGTCCTTCATCACATTCACCTTCACCTGAGGCAGCAGAAAGAGCTGCTAATATGCTCAGGGATTCTCGGCAGCATCTTCTCCATCGTCAAGACCAGCTCTCTGGTAGTGGCCTCATATCCTCTTTGCCCCTTTTAACTCTTCCCAAGTCATGTTTCTCAGTCAGAAGACTTTGTCAGTGATAGTAAGGTACCCTCAGTGAATGGATATGGTGTGTTCCCAACAGACTTCCCAACATAATCGTTTTCTCACCAAAAAAAAAAGTGAGTGGGACTCAAGTGATAGTACAGTGGGTAGGGTGCTTGCCTTGCAGGCGACTGCCCAGGTTCAATCTCCGGCATCCCATATGGTTCCCCCAGTACCACCAGGTGTGATTTCTAAGTGACGATCCAGAAGTAACCCCTGAGCATCACTGGATATGGCTCCCAAAACCAGAGTAAATAAATAAAATAAATTTTAAAAGCTGTTACCGTGAATTTACCCAGAAACATCTGGAGTATAAGAAAACTCAATCCTGTGTCATGTTCTCTTTCTATCAAGTTATTCTGAAGATATTCAGGCAAGAGTACCAGGAGGCAAGCCCAGGCTGAGAGACAGCTTGCTCATTCAGACTTTTCTGGCAGCTTGATTCCACCCATATGGCATTCCTTTAGCATGCCAGATGAGGTCAGGATATATGAGAGAGAAATCTTCCTCACAAGAGCTCTGAGTTTTGTGAGTTGGTAGACTTGTACTTTAGGGGTGAGATAATTTAACTTGTAATGCTTTTTCCTATTTCCTTTCCTCTTTTGCTTTTATTTTAAAAAGAGATGGAGAGGAAGAGAGAAAAAAAGGAGGGAAGGAAAGACATATCTCAGGCACAGATAACAAAAAGAATTTATTTGGGGGGGGGTGGAGATATGGCTTAATGGTATGACCTGGATTTGATGTTAGAACCATAAAAAAATATTTTAATGAAACCTATTATATATGTATATATATTTACATTGTTGGAAGAAATAAATATTTGAAAACTGTAGGAAAGTTGAACATAAAAGAATATGTTTTGGATATGTAACATCTTATTGAGATTAGGTTTTAAGAGAATAAAATTTTAAGTGCATTTAAAATTAAGACTTTAAAAAAATAAATAAATAAAATTAAGGCTAGTATCCAGGTGATGAGCACATACATGGTAAGACTATGTGAAGATGGAGAGATGCCAGAAGAGAGATTATGCTTAGTTTGAATAAGATCTAGGGACCAAATAAAATGCCTTATGATGACTAACAGACCCAGTTTGGCAGAACGACCGTGATGATTTTAGTGGCCCTGTTATTGACTCTTGGCTCCAGGTGAGTTTGGCAACTCTCTTTCCCATCAGGTCTCCAAGAAGTAGCACCAAGCCCATAGGTCTGCTAGCACAGTAGCCCAAGGTCAGACTAGGGAGGAGAATGGACAGAGGGCTTAATACTAAATAAATGAAATTAATTGAAAGAGGAAAAAAGTGAAGAGAAAGAATGGGAAGAAATAGCAAGGTATAAATCTAAAGGAATTGGTCTGTCTATATGCCGAGCTAGAAAATGAGATGCAATTACTTTCTTTTGATTACTCAGAGACTTCACAAATATGAGTGTTATGATACATTCAACAGATGAGAAAGTCAACTTTGACCCCAATATTTGCTTAAAACCTTCATATTGAATAAAATACAGTGTAGTTACATTGAATGGGCAGGGGATGTACAAATTTTAAATTCCATGAGAATAGAGATACTATCTTTCTTGTTTATATATATGTACTCAGCTTCCTAATGACTTGCATATGGTAAATGTTTAATGAAAAATGGATAAAAGGACAGATAGACATTTGAATCAGTAATAATATAGACTAATAATATAAAGAGACTATAAAAGAAGCAATGGGAATCTCTTTGTTAGATATTTAAAATCAAGCTACAGGATCTAAAATTAAATGTGTGAAAAAGCTCTAAAAAGATAGCACAGACTCTTCCTAAATTCAGAGCCTGGTCACTGGGAAGCAGTGCTTCACAAGGAGACATGCTTCTCTCTAGTTTTAGTGAAACTTCCTGAGAAAGATGTACTGAGATCAGATTCCTTCAGGAGCAGGCATACATATTGGCAGCCATCAAATCTTGCAAAGATTGAGATCACCAGAGGATAAAAGTCCTCAAAAATACTGAGATATTTCTTTGTACCTTCGCAAAAGTGAAACTGATGCCACCATACTTTCTTGGTGTGAATACCACTTTCTCAAAGTGAGTAGTTAGTTTGAGTTAGTAGTACTATGCTTTCTCTTGATTTTTCTAGGGAAATCAAAGAAGACATTTGACTCAAGATCTTTGCTTCTACCCTGTTTATTGTAATTAATATATGTGCTTGAAGTTCAGAATTATTGATATATTAAGGTAGTTCTGATTAGAGTAAGGACCAACAATGTTAAGAGAAACAGGTATGCCTCACGTTCTCTCAAAGTCATCATTCAGGTTTTTTGACACTGCATACTTACAGACTGGGAGCTCAGTATTGAGAATCCAGTCAAAACATCAGTCTTGATGTGACTGGCTTAATAAGTACTGCCAGCTGCATGTCAGCCACACCTGTGCTAACATTGCGTTCTCTTGCTGCTCACTCCAGGAGACAGATGTGATGGAGGAGGTAGAAATGATGGTGGAAAGCCTCCTAGACGTGCTCTTGCAGACTCTGCTCACCATCATGAGCAAATCGCACGCTCAGGAGGCGGTAAGAGGGCAGCGGTGCCCGCAGTGTACAGCCGAGATCACTGTTAGTAACTAACATTCAGGTTTCTTTCTTTTCTAACCTGGGGCTCCTCCATGCCAATCCTCATCTCATCATTTCACTACCTTCCTGCCAGCTTCCCTTCCTGCATGGTTGTCAGCATGCTGTTTCCCATCTCAATTTTGACCCCTATCTTCACTCTGAAAGTTCTAAGTTCATACTTCTAAGAGTCCAGAGCAGAATCAGTGTATCCGTTGGCCTTTACCTTTAAGTCAGCATGTTTTCTATAGTGTGAAATAAAGTAGGTTTGAAACTTAGATGTTGAAGACAATAACAATAATCTTCCTGTTTATTCCAGGAAGAAGTTTTTGTAAATGGTGTGCAGAATAATTTCCTCATAATTTGCTTGTGTTTATAAATTAAATTATGTTGGTCTATATAGTATTTGTATCCAAATGCTACCAAAACATCAGGAAAAATATGAGTTAGAATTACACTTGCTTACAGAATAATGATCTCCTGGGATCCAATTAGAACAGAAAGCAGACTGGGAGAGTGTTTTAGGAAAGATAAGAGATAGCATCTGGGCCTTCAGTGCCCTCATTCCTTTACGCAGAGTAGTCCTATATTAGAATATCATCATCAGATTGCATGGAAACTTCCAAATGAGAGACTACAATGATGCCTTTGAAGAAAACCTGCTATGGGACCAAACTATGCCCCAGATACAAGATAGCTGAGATTTGGGGGGAGCATTTGTCTTGGAAAGAATATCTGCTCTTTAGACTACTCTCACTATAGATGAAAACACATGCACCCTCGAAACCTCAAAACCCATGCTTCTAACCCACATAGTTTAGTGCTTGTTGTGAACCCACTCCTGTTTAATACTTGTTACAAATAATAACATCCTGCTAATAATTTTATATTATGGAGATGGTAGTAACCACAATTTATTGAGCATTTTTTGTGTACTAGACATTTTACTGAAATATTTTATATACATCAGTCCTCTGATCCCCTACAGTTAGTAATTGTGGTTTATAATATCTGTTTTGAGATTTACATACATGCATCTATTGTAAAGACATATGTATGTAATAGTTTGATTAGCATAGAAAATATTTGAGACACCATAAAAACCTGTCAAATCCCCTTGTTTTAAAAACATTTGAAAATTATTCAAATTAAGTATATTTCATTTATCTCTTTTGAAGAAGCAGAGGAGTTAAGGCTCAGCTGCTCCATTTCAGAAGTTGCCATTAGATCATTAAACTCCTTGGAATTCATAAATCTTCTATGTACCGCAGTTGAAAATTAAATGTTTAAAACACCTTTTTGTCATTAAAATGTTACTGTCTTAAAAGTTTGTATACCAGAAAAAATCTATATCTCATTTTCTCAGGAAGCTCAGTTCAGGGCCAGAGAAATAGTACAGTGGGTAAAATACTTGCCTTGCAAACAGTCAATCTGGCTTGATCCCCCACACTGTAATATGGTTCCTGAGGCCTACCAAGAGTGATCCTTGATCACGGAGCCAGTACTATGTCCTGAGCACAGCCAGGTGTTTCGCCACCATCCCCTCCAAAAAGCAAAGCATGGGGGGCAAGGATCAGTTCAGATTCCTCTGCTTTCCAAACAGCTATGATGATCTAGTATCCACCATCTCCTTGATCCAATAACTATACATAATCTCTGGGAGAGTCCCAGGGAAATTTTTGATGAGGGGCTCCTCAAGCATAACAGTATGGGCAGATTCCAAATTCTCTCCAGAGAAAGCCAAGCACCCTATTCCAAGTATCTCCTCCACACTTTGGTATGATGCCCTAGCAACAAATTGTCACCAAGAATTGGCAAAACTTTTCATAGTGAAAACAAAACGTAGACTATCTGACTTTATAGCACTTGGTTGTTGTAGGTTAAGATTTTTCAGTTAGCCCTGAGCTGCAGAGATCTTACCAAGACTCTCAAGCTCATCAGGCTTCCCTTTGCAGGAAAGAAAACTCACTTTCAGTTATCACCTTCCTTTTCATGATCATTGGGGCCATTTCAGACCCTTCCTTCTCTCCTTGCCCTCTGTGGATTGGGGAAACAACCACTGTGATTGACTGTGCTAAGTATTTTTTGGGTTGGTCCACAGGGTGAATATGTGTCCTGCCTTCTTTCATTGCTTCGTCAAATGTGTGATACCCATTACCAACACCTCCTGGACAACTTTCAGAGCAAAGATGAACTCAAGGTAGGCAACAAAGCGCTGACATATTACTAGAAAAGAAAAGAATTTGGCTGAGACTGCTCAGAGGTTTTTAACCTACCACTGGTTAAAATAAAAGGTAATTGCAAGTGACCAGTGCTGAGAACAGTGTATGATTCACCAGGATCACTTCTATAGCTGAGTTAGAAACTTAAAAAAACAGCAGTGTCCCAGATAGTTAGACCTCAGTAACAACGGGAAGTTTTCCCTAAGTAGTAGCAGTCTTCTTGCCATGTGCCTCTATGAGAGAGGATATTCTAGATTACATTTATTATCGCAAACCAGCATGCATCCTCTTCTCATTAACTCAGCAGTTCCTTTATATTTTGTTCCCTACAAACCAAGATTTACTGTTTAATAACTAAAATAATAACAATGATGACAGTTTTTCCTCATTCAGATATATTTCTGGAAGAAACTTATTAACAGCAGAACTGAACACTGCCCAAATCTGGATCTGAGCACTGAGGGACAGATAGTGCAGAGAAATAGGCCTGTAATCTAGATGAGAGGAGAGCATTCCCAAGCTCAGCATCATAGTACTGCTGACAGATTGATGGGGGGTTGTGTGTGTTTGCATTAAAATGCTATTACTTAGTTAATCTCTGGATAAAGAAATTATTAAAAACTTTAGTTATGTACTCTGCCTCCACCCAGAGCCAGGTCACTTATATAATACAGTAGTGCACTTTTTGACATTACTATTCACTTGTATGAGCATATTATTGTAGCCGTTAATAAGTATCGGTTATGTTTTGGTATCTGGTCCTACAGATTATTACTGACTCATTATAGTAAACCAAATCTGTTTATTTCAGTGAGATGAACTGAATTCATTGAAAAGCTTTGTCCAGAACCTGGAGTTCACATTCAGGTCAATAAATATTGCTTGACCTAGGATATAGTGTCCGAAGCTTCAGTCTTGGCTGTTTAGAACATTTATAGAGTGCATTCTACTAGCTGATTCTCAAGAGGAAGTTCAGGCTGGCACTGTCTCTTTTCAATTGAATGTTTGCATCACATTGATCTATATACATAATTCTATCTAAGTATGCTACAAAGCTTGTAGCATAAAGCAGCATCTCTTGGTTCAGTCTAACCTATGTCAAATTGCTACTTCTCATTTTGAACTCTTGCTTTTCTTCTAGTAGTTCTTGTTGCTATTTCAAGATTTTTTAATATTAATTTTATCTATATCCTCTTCCCATGGAAAATTAGAATGATTTTTCAGAATTAGAATAATTCCTCCCATATTTGTTCCTCTTTTCAATCTTCTAATATAATTTATATGCATGTCTGATTAAATTGGTAATTGACTCTTTACTATAGCTAGGTAAATGCTATAGAAAACTATAAGCTATTCATTCCTTTCTTTTAAAACTTCTTGTATTTCCTGGAATTAATTGCCTCTTTGATTATTGTTTGTTTTGGGGTTTGAAGGTTTTATTTATTTATTTATAGTTTTCAAATCTGCTTATAATTTCCTACTCTATCTAGCATCTCTGTATAAAAACTCATTCTTCCAGCTTTCATCTTAGTCAAATCAAGACCAAATTGATCAGGTCAGATACTTTCTCTTTTTCTCCAAAGTGCTGTCTTCATTTGCTTCAGTCCCTTTCATCTTATCTCCTATATGTGGATATTCCTGTATGTCTATTTGCATCTAAAAATGGGGTTCTGTGTTACTTTATAGGAGCTGTGTGTATATAGACCTTATCTCCAACAGTCTTCCCAGTAGAGGACTAAAGAAAGTCTGGTTATTTGGTGAGGGCATCCTCTAATTCCTCTGTCTGTTGCCCTGTATCCTTGGACTTTTCTGTTTTCCTATAGAGGAACCCTTTATAATTCCTAGGGATGTAGTAGACTGGTAGACTGCCAGTGTTTTGGGAGCCAAATAGAAAAAGGGACTGGGGTGGGGTGGGGTGGGGGGCAGAGTGATAGTATGGAAGATTGAATGCTTGCCTTGAACGTTCCCAACCCAGGTTCAATCCCCAGAGTACTCCATATGGTCCCTTGAGTCTACCAGGAGTGATTCCGGAGCACAGAGGCAGGAGTAAGAGTAAGCCCTGAGCAGTACCAAGTGTGACCCAGAAACAAAGAAGGAAGGAAGGAAGGAAGGAAGGAAGGAAGGAAGGAAGGAAGGAAGGAAGGAAGGAAGGGTGGGTGTGGCCCAAAAACAAGGAGGGAGGAAGGGAGGAAGGGAGAGAAATAGAAAGGAGAGAAAAAGGGAGGAAAGGAGGAAGGGAGGGAGGGGGAGAGAGAGAGAGAGAGAAAGAAAGAGAGAGAGGAGGGAAGGAGGGACTGTGTCATGAAAGATTCTCAGTGATCAGCTACTACAGAGACTGTCAACCTGTGACAGAGTGTGGTAAAGTTGTTTATGGAAATGAACGTGAAAATGGCAGAGGTTATCTCCTGGAGACTTTAAACAGACCCTTTTTGTTTCAAATTCTTTTACCCTGATCCGACAGAGGTACATGGTGATGCAACTCACTTTCTAAAATTATTGAGATATATGCATATTTTTTAATTCAATCACTGTGAATTACAAAGATACTTTTCTCAAATTCTTGCTTCTGTTGCTATCACCTCCAGAGACTTTTGGCTCAGCATTCTCAAGTATAGTAAATCAGTTACTTAAAAAGTTTTTAAAAATTGTCTCTTTTTGGCAGCTCAGATAGAGAAGGGACCACCAAGTAAAGGGCGATTGGAGGGCCCGCTCGGGGTGGGAGATGTGAGCTGAAAGTAGACTGTAGATCGAACATGATGACCACTCAGTACCTATATTTCAAACCACAACACCCAAAAGGAGAGAGAGAGCAAAAGGAAATACCCTGCCACAGAGGCCGGGGGGGGGGGGGGGGGGGGGGGGGGGGGAGTGGGGGGGTTGGTGGGAGGGATACTGGGATCATTGGTGGTAGGAAGTGAATAAAAAAAAAGCATGAATGAAAAACTTTTCAAATTAACAAACTAGACCACTAAAATATAAAGATATAAAATATAAAAATTTATCCCCAAAATGTGTCTGGCATATCGAATACGTCACAGGGAGCTTGCCAGGCTCTGCCATGAGGGCAAGATACTCTCGGTAGCTTGTCGGGCTCTCCGAGAGGGGCGGAGGAATCGAACTCGGGTCGGCCATGTTGGCTGTGTGTAAGGCAAACACCCTACCGCTGTGCTATCGCTCCAGCCCAAGGGCAAGCTACCGAGAGTATTTGATATGCCAGACACAGTAACAACAAAGTCTCCAATGGAGACGTTACTGGGCCCGCTCGAGCAAATCGACGATCAATGGGAGGGCCTTTACCTTTACGGGCTGGAGCGATAGCACAGCGGGTAGGGCGTTTGCCTTACAAGCGGCCAACATGGCCAACCCGAGTTCGATTCCTCCGCCCCTCTCGGAGAGCCCGGCAAGCTACCGAGAGTATTCAATATGCCAGACACAGTAACAACAAAGTCTCCAATGGAGACGTTACTGGGCCCGCTCGAGCAAATCGACGATCAACGGGAGGGCCTTTACCTTTACCTTACCTTATCCCCAAAATGCAATTTTTGTTAATTTAATGAACAACCAGTGCTATATACAATTAAAAATATTTTAAAATATGATAGTAAAAATACACATAGAATAAATATTTGGAGGGCATCCTGAGTGGTGATTGGGTTGCCAAAGGTCACTCCTATCAATACTTCCTAGTTCTGACAGTGAAGGCCTGTGGATTCAATGCCAGAGTTTAATAATACAGCACTCTTTGTCCCCAGCCATGATGTGGATCCAGAGTCATACCCAGCAGTGCTTGTGTGACTGCTAGGGCTATGTATAGCAGTGCTCAAGGGGCCTGTGATACCAGGGATTGAACTTGGGGCCTCACACATACAAGGCCTGTACTCTTCTCCTTTAAGCTATTTCTCAAGCCCAAAAATTATTTCTTGTATTTTGGGGTGTTTTTTTGTTTGTTTGTTTGTTTGTTTGTTTGTTTGTTTGTTTAGGGCCACATCTGACAGTGCCCAAAGCTTACTCCTAGCTGTGTTCAGGATCACTCCCAGAAGAGTTCAGGGAACCATATGAAGTGCAGTGGATTAAACCCGGGTCAGTCACGTGCAAGGCAAGCACCCTACCTGCTGTAATATTGCCCCCAAGCCCAATAAATATTTTCAAAGAATCCACTGATCTTTCATGATAAACTAATTCAGCAAACTAGAAGTAGAAGGAAATTTCTTCAAACTATAAAGGACATCTATGAAAAACCCACAGCTAACATACTTAATAATTACAGAAGACTGGATTCTTCTCCCATTAAGATTAGGAACAAGAGAAAGATAAATGTCCTAGCTGCTTATATTTATTATGCTTGCAGATCTAACTAGGAAATTTAGGCATGAAAAAATAAAGGGGGCTCAGAGTGAAAAAGAAATAAAAGGCATGTAAATTAGAAGGGAAGAAGTAAAAGTATCTTTAACCTCACAGAAAATTTTAACTATTTCTAAAAAATATTTTTTCAAGTATTAGACAAGCAGGGTTATAGAATATGTAGTCAGTATAAAATCAGTTCTATCACCTTACAGTGTTGAATAGGTAAAGATGAAATTAAAGTAACAGTTCCATAAAATGAACAATAATTAGGAAAAGAAATGAAAGAAGACCTAGATAAATGGATTAATACCCACTGTGCATGGATTAAAATACTTGATGTTGTTAGTATTTCAATACTTAATAAAGTGATCTACAGATTTTATGCAAGATATGTCAAAAAGTTTTGATTAACTTTTTGCAGAGATTATATGATCCATAATATCATGTGAAAATATAAATAATTCAGATAGCTAGATAATTTTGAAAAAATAAAATATAAGTGTCCACATGGACCAATTTCAAAACTTACAACTAAGTAACAGTAATTAAAATTATTACTGGCATAAAGATTGACAGATATATAAATGTAATTGGATTGAGAATTCAGAAGTGTTTCTATTTACATTTGATTGAT